ATGTCTTTGCATGACGGCAGCGTAACTCGTGGACGGAGAAAGCTACAGAGTCTAAATTTGATATATATGATATACCATATAAGGCCTGAGAGCTTCTATCTTCCTTGAGTCAAAGGTTCAAAGGTCAAGGTTACAACTTGGAGAGAGCCATCACAAGGCATAAGTTGGTTTTGTGCTTGAATGTAATCGTGTTGGTTTTATTATCATTAGTAGTAGTTGGAGTTGGTATAACTGTGAGGGGAGGTTGGAAGCCATAATTAGAAAAAAATATTATTATTATTATTATTATTATTATTATTATTATTTATTATTATTATTATTATTATTATTATTATTATTATTATTATTATTATTATTATTATTATTATTATTATTATTATATTTTCCATAGTCATAGACCAAAAGCCTGTTACCGGAGAGAAAGTGTCCTCTAGCCTTCGTCTGCAATAAGTCAATTGAAGAGACATAAAGATCACCTGTAAGAGTTCTCCAACTCCTCAGAAGAACCTTGTCTATTCATTCTTTAATAATGTTACGCTTCTTCCCATGTGAAGATACAGACAATTCTTGTGTTGCTACAGTATTAGAGAATAACCACTGCTATTAATATATCTTTAGAATTTATTTGATTATGGTTTTTTCTTTCGTTTTTGGTCAATTTAATTCAAGGAACTGATGTTATTATGTGTCTTCTTCAGCTGCTTGTTGACACGTATTTCCTATTTTCAGTTTTTCGTTGTCGCAGATTTGACATTGACTCTTGTTAAAAAAACATCAACAACCTAACGTTGTCTCCGATAGATGATCATTAATACCTCCAACTGTTCTTCCGTCTTGTTTGAGTCAGCCCAGGAAGTGGCGTCCCTAATGACAGGTATCTCACTGTGTTCCGCGTATCACAGTCACGATGCTAATGGACTGATCTTGACCTCTCAGGACTTTCACAGATTTCACTGTTTCGTTGTGAAATATACCAGATTTGCTTTAATTCGTGAGTGTTAAAGTCTAATTCCATTGGTTTCATATACAAATGTCCAGATAAATAACATTTGTGTTTTACGTGAATAGTAAGAAGATATTCGAGATAATTACCATGTTGATGAAGTATATTTTACATAGTTTTATACGTGTTTCAAATATCATTTTATTATAATGTTGTTGCTGTATACTCTACTTGGACTTGAACCTACACTGATGTATCAGAATAATTATTTGATTTGAATAGGTTTTATAACAATCACCGACTACTATTAAGGCCACAGTAGCTAAAGAAAAGTTTATATATAATTAATTCATAAACTCCTATTGCGTCTTAAAGGTTTGAACATTGCTAATTAGAGGAAAACATCTGATTATCTTCCTGTCTAGAGGGAGGATCATAGTTGACTCACCACTGTCTTGTATTACACTTTACTATTTCATGCTGCACGGTGCCATTAATCTCGAGGTCTCTCCAATGTGTTTACCATACAGTAAAGTGAAGAACGCTCAGACTGACTGTAACGAGACGACACTGCAGTAATATTTTTTCTCGTATCTACGACGGTTATTAACAAGATAATTATGTTAAGTCATCAATATGCTTAATATATGTACAAATGTGTGTTTGTGAGCTGTATTTACTTCTATAACAATCCGTTTCGCTTTTAAGTTCAATTTATATTTTCTTTATACTTTCGTTGGGATAAATCTTGCATACAATATGTAATTAATATTCTAACTACTTGAGTCACCTTCACTTTTACTGAACAGTTTATAGGGTTTTGTGTTATGATCAAGATTCCTTTATAGTGTGGAGGCAGATTCTTAACCTTCACTCATTCTCTGTTTTTACTCTAGTGAACAACTCTCTATTCATTATTTGCTATTTTAACTTTTCTACATGACATAATACGAATTGTAGAAAAGAGTTACTTTCATTTGGTAGTCACTGATTTAGTATACAACTATTTAACAAACACTAAACCCTTACACAACAGAAAAAAAATCATATCAATCTCCCTCTTATAAGGCATGCTTATATTTACTTTTAAATACATAAAAGATCAACCTGAAGAAGCTCCTCTCTGACTAAGTCACTTTAACAACTTTTTCTTTTCGACAATGTTTATCCATAATAGCAGTCATTTTTGCCAAGCTTTCTGGTGCAGCGAATATAATACTTACAGTACAGTAATAGGTGTAATGACATTGGGGGGGGAGGGGTGGATTGTTGAATAGAAACTTTCAAAACAAATTAAATACATGGAGTGAAGATACAATTTATTTCTGACCTATTGATAATTTGGTGTTGAAGAGGATAACTCGTGGTTCTGATACAGTCCTGTCTGGTTCACGCGCGCGCATGTGTGTGTGTGTGTGTGTGTGTGCGTGCGTGCGCGCGTGTGTGTGTGTGTGTAATTTAGCCCCTGGAGGCGTACAGGACCATGTAATTGCAAGGCTGAGAAGGGAAGTGAAATCCTACGAGAGCATTGAAGGTCAGGTAGGATTAATATTAATGTGGCGACATCGTGGCAGCATGGCATAATCCTAGTCCTTTTAAAGCCTAAGACGAAGATAACAGTAAGGAGCAGGTAACACGGCGTGGGTTGGGCTCGGTTAGTAATCCTTGACGGAACATCATAATTCCCCTTAGGAATGGAGGGATGAGGGGGTGGGGAAAAGGGGCGTAGAAGGGTTAAAACAACAATTTTATTAGCATCGCTGAAGCAGAGGGGGAAGGTGCTAGCGAAGTGTGCAGGGGGTAGGGAGGCGGAGGAATAGGTTGAGAACAGACGAGGAACTAAAGGCCACTCAGCTAATGAAACTCCCAGAGGAAATTATTTTTTCCCGAGCACGTTAGACAAACATCTCACCATTGTCTCTAGTGTTATAATGTACCTCAGGTGAATAGAATACAACGGGCTCTAACTTTCGGGGCTCCCGACCCTTTCGTCCAATGTAAACAGGACCGCACTCTATACAATACAACACTGGTACTCCTCTTACACACAACACTGGTACTCCTCTTATACACAACACTAGTTACTCCTCTTACACACAACACTAGTTACTCCTCTTATACACAACACTGGTACTCCTCTTACACACAACACTGGTACTCCTCTTACACACAACACTGGTACTCCTCTTACACACAACACTGGTACTCCTCTTACACACAACACTGGTACTCCTCTTACACACAACAGTGGTGGCACAGGGGGCTGGACTGGATACTTGACACTGGTACTCCTCTTACACACAACACTGGTACACACAACACTGGTAGGTACTCCTCTACACACAACACTGGTACCTCTTACACACAACACTGGTTACTCCTCTTACACACAAACTGGTACTACTCTTACACACAACACTGGTACTCCTCTTACACACAACACTGGTACTCCTCTTACACACAACACTGGTACTCCTCTTACACACAACACTGGTACTCCTCTTACACACAACACTGGTACTACTCTTACACACAACACTGGTACTCCTCTTACACACAACACTGGTACTCCTCTTACACACAACACTGGTACTCCTCTTACACACAACACTGGTACTCCTCTTACACACAACACTGGTACTACTCTTACACACAACACTGGTACTCCTCTTACACACAACACTGGTACTCCTCTTACACACAACACTGGTACTCCTCTTACACACAACACTGGTTACTCCTCTTATACACAACACTGGTACTCCTCTTACACACAACACTGGTACTCCTCTTACACACAACACTGGTACTCCTCTTACACACAACACTGGTACTCCTCTTACACACAACACTGGTACTCCTCTTACACACAACACTAGTTACTCCTCTTACACACAACACTAGTTACTCCTCTTACACACAACACTAGTTACTCCTCTTACACATAACACAAAACTACCACTTCCTTCACCTACTGACACAAACACTTAAACCGAACGAACTAATCAAGAATTTATCAGTATGCAGATGAGAACAGATGAAGTTCCATACACCTTGATCTTTACCTGTTGTCATGGCTTCATTTTTTGTGTGTGTCTGTGAGTATCTCTGGTGTCATTACGGGATAACCAGATTTTTAATAATATGTGTAATTAGTACTGTTTTGTATGTTGTTTCGTCTGTGTGTGTTATATATGGATGTGTTTCTGTAGTTCAGTCGTTATTGTTATTGTCATTTGTTATTATTATCATTATTAATTATTTGTGTTGTCATTCATATTATTTGTTACTTCTTACACGAAACATAATTAATACAAAATACGGTTGTAAATAAGTAACAGCAAATAGGTAAGATAGTTTTTCAGTGAAGTTAAACTAAGGAAACTAATTATTTTTGCTCGTGCGTTTAGTAAAACATAATTAAGAATATTAGGATCTTGATTCATAATTTTGGTTCACTTAAAGTATGATATCTTGCTTAATATTACACTTACAAGCAGGAGAAGTGTTCGTATAGTGTAATAATTAATATTCATTCAACAAAGGTTTGTATCTCATGCCCCCAACTATTTTATACAGTAGTAATTAGTTAATTATATTCCTTTATCTAAGAGGAGGAAAATGTTGTTATGTAGGTTTCGTTTTCCATCACATACTGAGTAGAGAATCTATGAGATGTTTTGTTGTCCTAACTTAGCGAGAGAGAGAGAGAGAGAGAGAGAGAGAGAGAGAGAGAGAGAGAGTGAGAGAGTGAGAGAGAGATTGGTGATGTATGTATATTGTAAATGCTTATCATATGATATCTCCAAGAATTATGAATTAAATTATCTACACTACTCTATTGCACTGTTTGCTTTTGGCAAATTTCATGTAAAATAGCTAAGTCTGCTCAGCTTCTTGTTTTGTAAAACAGAAATAATTATACCTTACAAGATGCATCATTTTACGCCCTTCTTCCTCTGCCTCCTCCATACAAACAAAGACCTACACACATGACCAATAAGCAAAAGGAAAAATCTTAATCGTGTAAGACATGGTGGTGCAATAAAGAGCAATGTTGATTTTGATTATATTTATTAACACTTAGTGCCTGACACAAGGCAGTACGTAGATTTGACCTTGTGTCTGTAAATGTCACGAGGACTCACATCACTGACCGTATGGGCGACCGTATGAGCCACGATGGCCTCTGGTGGAACCCCTTTGACCACCAAAGGAACCCCTTTGACCACCGAAGGAGCCTCCTTGACCACCGAAGGATCCCCCACGACCACTGTGGGAACCCCCTTGACCACCGAAGGAGCCCCCTTGACCACCGAAGGAACCCCCTTGACCACCGAAGGAACCACTTCGACCACCGACAGATCCATAACTACCAGCCGAGCCACTATGACCGAGGGAGCCACCAGTGGATCCAGAAAATCCACCAGTGGATCCACCGCCACTACCAGATGAGATGGCTCCTGACCCGTGTCCTAAAGAACCTCCTGTGAAGCCGTGGCTCCCACTGGAGCCACCATGACCACCGCTGGAGCCGCCACCGGAGTATGAACCGCCGTTGAACCCACGACGACCGCCACCAGAGCCTCCTCCGTGAGCTCCACGTGAAAAGCTGCTGCCATGGTGGGAGCCGCCATCTGCCGTGCAGGAGCCCAACAGGAGACCAACACTCACGGTGACCATCAACAGTTTCTGAGGGAGGAAGACTCAAATTATTTAAGAATTATGATCAGCCGTTGGAAATAATACTTTAAGGAAACGTGAACACATTTAATCTAAGAGGAAAATTAAATATAAACAATATACAAAGTAGGAGAGAACGTCTTACCATAGTTGTCGCTGGTGTAGGACTGACTGGCTTCCATGTGAGGTGTTTGTGGTAGTCTTATATACTTAACCCTCGAGTCTGTACTGTACTCCCTTATGGCTGTATTCTTAAGGTCACATTGACAGTTTCTATCCCATGATTTATCTAGTTACATTAAATACATAAGGTTTAATATTCTTCGTTATGCAATAATTCGCCTATAACAGATTCACTAAATATTATAAGAGGAAACGTTACCAAGTCAAAAGACATCATGACCTTAAACCAACATAATCATTGGCTGAACAATCTCACATTACTAAAATTACCATAATACAAAACATCAAACCTGAAGTCATCAGATGGAACCAGGATGGGATTCGGGTTTCGGCCTTTGACAGTGATCCTTTAAAGGACGAAACCTCTGATTCATTTTATGGAAGGTATCAAAATCGTTCTGCACAAGAGTATTACAAGTAGTGGAGCCTTGTCAACGGGGAACTAAGTCCACACTCTATTTGTGGAATACTTGATATTAATTCTGTATTATGGCATCATTCAAGTAAACTGAGACGATAGTTGTCTTAAGAGAATCATAGCCACCTGCTGTAAATGATAACGCTGTTCTCTGTCCCTCACAGTCCTTAGTTCTCTCTCTCTCTTTCTGGAACAACTTAATTGTTGAAGACAATTTGGTTCACTAATGCACTACACAATAGTCATTGATTGTTAATGTTAAGTTGCCACCTGCCGTCGTGTACTTAATATTGTGTGACCACAATTCTTCGACTAAGTGATTATATTTAATAAAAAATTGCCGATACTTTTTAAATAAGTGTATAACAATTAATTTACAATTAAATTTTATGAATGAAATAACACTCACACACACACACACACAACTACTGCTGCTACTGTTATTACTTTGCTGCCACTCGGAATTGGGTATGACGGCCATCCAGCTATGATACAATAATAGGAGTTTAGTTGTTCATGGATACTGGTTGGTTCGATCCTCCTACAGTTGGTGTCAGTGAGAATACTGGAATTTGTTCTTTTGTCTTCCCAGCGAACTTGGAGGATGGAACGTAGACTACGTTGGTGAAAGTTTTCAAGTGGCTTGAGGTGCCTCCAGTATGTGACCCACGTCTCACTTCCATACAGCAGGGTGGTAAGGACCACTGATTGATATACGTGCAGCTTGCAACTTTGTAGATTATTTCAGCTCCTAACAGCTGAAAACACAGGTCCGGAGTCTGCCAAATGCTTGAGATGCACATCTGATCCGATGTTGAATATCTTCATCGATTTTCGCAGGAGTGGACATGGGAGCCAAGATACTGAAAGTGGGTAACATTAGAGAGGGTAGTACCGTTAAGCTGGATGGGTGGTGGAGGTGTGGTTGAACCAAGGGCAGGTTGAAAGCGAATCTGAGTCTTACGCACATTCGTGTCAAGGTCGAATTATGCATACGCATCTGCGTAGGTGTTTAGAATCTCCTGTAGGTCATGTTGAGTGTGAGTGACGAGGGTGAGGTCGTCTGCATACTGAAGTTCAGTGATTGAAGAGGCCGGCACCTTTGTTCCTTCCTGGAGTCGTCTTATGTTGAAAAGTCCCTTCATCTTGTACTGGATGTCCACCCCGCCGACTAAAATGGCACTGGCACTAGTAAGGGAGGCAGCAAAGAAAATGGAAGAGAGAGTTAATTGGTGCCAGTACACATCCTTGTCTTACCCCCATTTGGATGGGAAGGAATTTAGATAGGGTGCCATTGTGCAGGACACTGTCGTTCATGTCATTGTGGTGTTGCCTCACTTTGGCGATGAAGTTTCTTGGGCAACCAAAGCGACTGTGGTTCCGCCAGTGGGTTTCCTGTTGACAGAGTCGAAGGCCTTAGTAAGGTTGATGAAGACCATCTACAAGTAACGTTGCTGTTTTCTGCACTTTTCCTGTATCTGGCGGGCAGTAAAGATCATGTCAGTGGGTCCACGTGATTATCTAAGGCCACATTGAGATTCTGGGAAGACGTTTTCCGCCTCAGAAAGTAGTCTGTTTAGGAGGACTCGGGCGATAATCATGTTAGGTCTGAATAGGGGCGAGATCCCGCGGTAGTTGCCACAGTCTGACCGGTCTCCCTTGTTCTTATAAATATTGATGATGGAGGCGTCTTTAAGATCTCGGGTGATTTCCTCCTTTTCCCAGTCTCCAGGAAAGAGTGGAGACAGTTGGTAAGCAGAGGTCTTCCTGCTTTATACGCCTCGGCTAGGTTTCTCTCAGGCCATGTGGCTTTGTTACTTTTCATCTGCTTGATGGAAATAACTACTGTACTTCGTTACGGGATGGAGGATAATCTGAGCTGGTTAATCTCCAGGTAGTGAGGGACAAGATGGATAGTCAGGACAATCACATCGGTGTTTCAAGTCGATCGAATTACACAAGCATTCCACGGTATGCAGATGAGGTCAGGTAAAATTCAATACTACTTAATCTGTACCTGTTTTCAATATGGCTCCTTACTGTGTGTACCTGTGTGTGACATTGATGTCATTCGAGTGAGCAAGATCTGTTTTGTATGCTGTTTCGTCTGTGTGTGTTATATATGGATGTGTTTCTGTAGTTCAGTCGTTATTATTATTGTCATTTGTTATTATTATCATTATTAATTATTTGTGTTGTCATTCATATTATCACATCTTTTATTTGTTACTTCTTACACGCAACACAATTAATTCACAATACGGCTGTAAATAAGTAACAGCAAATAGGTAAGATAGTTTTTCAGTGAAGTTAAACTAAGGAAACTAATCATTTTTGCTCGTGTGTTTAGTAAAACATAATTAAGAATATTAATATCTTGATTCATAATTTTGGTTTACTTAAAGTATGATATCTTGCTTAATATTATACTTACAAGCAGGAGAAGTGTTCGTATAGTGTAATAATTAATATTCATTCAACAAAGGTTTGTATCTCATGCCCCCAACTATTTTATACAGTAGTAATTAGTTAATTATATTCCTTTATCTAAGAGGAGGAAAATGTTGTTATATAGGTTTCGTTTTCCATCACATACTGAGTAGAGAATCTATGAGAAGTTTTGTTGTCCTAACTTAGCGAGAGAAAGAGAGAGAGAGAGAGATTGGTGATGTATGTATATTGTAAATGCTTATCATATGATATCTCCAAGAATTATGAATTATATTATCTACACTACTCTATTGCATTGTCTACTTATGGTAAATTTCATGTAAAATAGCTAAGTCTGCTCAGCTTCTTGTTTTTGCAAAACAGAAATAATTATACCTTACAAGATGCATCATTTTACGCCCTTCTTCCTCTGCCTCCGCCATGCAAACAAAGACCTACACACATGACCAATAAGCAAAAGGAAAAATCTTAATCGTGTAAGACATGGTGGTGCAATAAAGAGTAAAGTTGATTTTGATTATATTTATTAACACTTAGTGCCTGACACAAGGCAGTACGTAGACTTGACCTTGTGTCGGTAAATGTCACGAGGACTCACATCACTGACCGTATGGGCGACCGTATGAGCCACGATGGCCTCTGGTGGAACCCCTTTGACCACCAAAGGAACCCCTTTGACCACCGAAGGAGCCTCCTTGACCACCGAAGGATCCCCCACGACCACTGTAGGAACCCCCTTGACCACCGAAGGAGCCCCCTTGACCACCGAAGGAACCCCCTTGACCACCGAAGGAACCACTTCGACCACCGACAGATCCATAACTACCAGCCGAGCCACTATGACCGAGGGAGCCACCAGTGGATCCAGAAAATCCACCGCCACTACCAGATGAGATGGCTCCTGACCCGTGTCCTAAAGAACCTCCTGTGAAGCCGTGGCTCCCACTGGAGCCACCATGACCACCGCTGGAGCCGCCACCGGAGTATGAACCGCCGTTGAACCCACGACGACCGCCACCAGAGCCTCCTCCGTGAGCTCCACGTGAAAAGCTGCTGCCATGGTGGGAGCCGCCATCTGCCGTGCAGGAGCCCAACAGGAGACCAACACTCACGGTGATCATCAACAGTTTCTGAGGGAGGAAGACTCAAATTATTAAGGAATTATGATCAGCCGTTGGAAATAATACTTTAAGGAAACGTGAACACATTTAATCTAAGAGGAAAATTAAATATAAACAATATACAAAGTAGGAGAGAACGTCTTACCATAGTTGTCGGTGGTGTAGGACTGACTGGCTTCCATGTGAGTGTTGGGGTCTTATATACTTCCCCGAGTCCTGTACCCCAGGCTGTATTCAAGGTCACATTGCAGTTTCTACCCATGACTAGTACATAAAAATAATATATTCTTTATGTTCGAGTTAATATTAGTTGAGTTTAACGTGGGTGATCACTTCAAGGATAACTCTTTTGTTTGTGTGTAGCTCTGGGGTTGAATTCTGTGGTCAACTGTACAGTATGTCACGAGGAATGACTCTGTTGTAACATGACTTATGTCGCCTTAAATACTGTACATCATCAGTTCTGGGTTTATCTTATAGTTTTCTTTGTTTTTATTTACTTATTTAGCTTTTTTTTTAATTATACGTATGGGTACTGGAATGGATGTATAGATTTTCAAATAAGGAACCTCATCTGACTGAGACGTGTAATCCGCCATCCAGGATTTATCTGTTACCGGACGCTTTGGTTAGGACGGAAATATTATGTTCGTGATCAGTTACGGCTAGTTAGAGGTTTCCCATTCATTTAGGCAACCCATTAGAGATTCACTAAATATTATAAGAGGTCAAACAGTATGTTGACTCCAAGTACACAAAGACTTTGAGACCTGTAAATTTTCCACCTACTCACGTGTAATCCGCCATCCAGGATTTATCTGTTACCGGACGCTTTGGTTAGGACGGAAATATTATGTTCGTGATCAGTTACGGCTAGTTAGAGGTTTCCCAAAGAGAAAAATTCATAGAAAATGCAATAATTCGCCTATAACAGATTCACTAAATATTATAAGAGGAAACGTTACCAAGTCAAAAGACATCATGACCTTAAACCAACATAATCATTGGCTGAA